GAATAATTGCAAGCTGGATTTGTTAAACTAGACAATCGTGTTAAATATGTACTGGTTGATGAAAAATGACAATAACTGGTATCGACTTTTCGTTCGACAAAAAGAGATTTATAGTATAAACGAGCAGGAGTTCTGTTCAATTTTTGATATTAAGGGAAACTTATTCAAATAAAACAATTTTCTTGTATTTCTTTAGTTTGTTTCTTATATCAGACTCAACAGTCGAGAGATTCATTTGAATAAACATTTTCTATCTATTCTTCTTCTCTCTGAATATTCTGTCAGATACAAATAATAATAGTTGAGATTCACTATGATTTTTGTCCGCAATCAAAGCCGATAGAATTGTTTATCTAATCTACAAAAGTCAATCGAGAAGGTTACGTCTATTGGGGTTTTTTCAACAAAGCAAAAGCAAACTTAAAGAAATTTACAGTATGTTTTTCACGAATTTCGAAGAAATCTAAATTGATTTTATGACTAGTATATAAATAGGAGTAGGTGAAATATTTTGTGTTTTAAATTAGAGATCATGATCTGTCTAAGAAAAAAAAAGAACGAGCCTCCTATCACTCTTTGTTCGAGTACAGTTGAATGTGACATTTATCTTCATGAACTTTAACAACATCTCTTAATTTTTATAATATTAGGTTGTGACTCATATTTGGTTGTATGACATAAATTTCTCGTAACTGACTTTCGTTAGTCTTTTGTCAATTCCAACTACATATTTATACAATTGTGCAGATTTCAAGTAGTGCATATTTATCGTTTTTTTCCTTATTAGACATTATAACAGCATTATCATTTCTTACTTCGGTTGCATGAAGTTACCGATGGTATGCACCTTTAGTTAATACTTTTGTTTACTCAAAATCAAAAATTGTTACATTAAAGAATAGAAGTCTTTTTTTCTTGTAAGAGAAAATTACCAAAAACAAATAGGTTTAATTCTTTGATGGAGAAGTCCGTAAATTTACGTCTTCAAAATCTGAATAGAATGTGTAGCCAAAATATATTAAAACAGATTCTTTTCAATATTTGTTGTATTTTGATATAAAAGATGTTCCATACTAACTGAGGAAAAATTGTTAATGATATTTTTCATACTTTTTCTTGATGTAAATAGCTAAAATTTTTATCACATGTATATCTAATCAAGATCTTTTATTCTGAAAGTTTCAGCTTTCTAGGAGTGAATATAATGCAAAAATCGAATAGAGAAATTTATGTATTTCAATGTTCTCAGTATATTTCACCATTAATTGTAGCTAGATGACTGACATTTTCAGAAATAATAGATCCTGATCAGCTATATATATGTGATAAAAATTTCAGCTTTTTATGTCGAGAAAAAGTATGAAAAATATCATTAGGAATTTATCCTCAGTTATTATGGGATGCCCTTTAAATGTCGTATAATATTTTCTTTCATCTAAAAACGATCCTAATCTACCAAAATATTGTACTCTTGATCAAAATCGGTTGTCCAAAGAAAACTTAAACCATAGTTCATCCCATAGCGATGTTGAATATGTTTTCATAATTTACTTCTCATTTTAAAATATGATGTTTGTAAAGTGGTCACTTTTCAAGAATGACAAGTAATATTTAACTTAATGTTAACAGAGATTTATGAGTAGAGAAGTGCTCGTTTTTAGATGTCATGAAATTCTCTTTCTATTTTATTGGCTCATGCCTTTATGCTAATATTTGAGTGTTTTCCAAATAGAAATTTGTGATCGCAGAATTTGAATCTTTCATTAGTTTCTCAAGATTCGTCACTTTGATTTTTCTTCATAAAAAATTATTGGTTTTTCGAAATACTTTTTGCATATCAAGAATCTCGCATCACATGTTTAGTAAATGACTTTTAATTTAATTAGTTATGATAGTGTTCACGTTGTATTTTTGAATGATTTATTCATAGGAAAACTCAGACAAAAGCAAGATTGAGTAAGTGAGCAATTAAAAATCTACTTAAGTCTATAAAATTGGTTTGTTCTCAACTCTAACGTATTCATTGTATTTGTAAAATATTCAACTATTAGTATAAATATATGAGCTAATAAAATAAGAAGAAAATTTTATGACGTGTACAAATGAGTAGTTCTCTACTCGTAAGTCACTGCTGATATTAGATAAAAAATGATTTCTGACTCTTGAAAAGTGACGATTTCACAAAAAGTATTTTTATGTCAGAAATGGATGTCTTGAAACATGTTCAATATTGTTTTCACATGAACTAAGTGTTTATTTTCTATTAAAAATCCATTTTTATGAAGTGTGTCATTTTTTGAAAGATAAAGACCTGTCAAGAGAAAAGAAAATATTTGTTATGTCTCAAATTAGAATTCAGTCCAATTCAGAATTCGTCTAGACGAAATTGAAATAATTTTTCAATGAATGAAAAAAGATACGATCTCAATAACTATTGATGAACAAAGGAGAAGAAAATATTTTAAGGAGACGTGGTCAAAGGAATAACCAGTATATATAGAGATAGTCAAGTATAACATCGTAAAAAAATGACGTCGAATTCAACGGGCGTTGCAATTGATAACAATGAGAAAGTCTTTTACGAGAAAATAGATGAATATATTAATTCGTTACACAAGAATCATCATGAGAAATGTGTTATTAAACGACAAGTGTATAATGATATTCTGAAATATTTATTGTTACCAAAAGAAACACCATGTAATCCATATTCATCAAAATTTGTTTATTGGACAAAATCCAACTTTAATTCAATTAAAATTGCTGGTAGTGAAATTGTTATTTTTTGTGTCGAATTAAAAAAAGCCAATGTGTGTTTACGAAGTTTTTTACAATGTAATATCTGAAGCACATATTATTGTGCCACATGGTGATCGTGAAAATACCTATTCTGAAATAATTTCTCAATATTCGTGGAGGGAATGGGTGTGTGAGCGTGACGGTATTGATCTTTACTTCACCCACACACCACTCAGATCCACACCCACATCCCATCCTGTCTGAAAAGAAAGATGCCATACTGAACCTTTCAAGCTCAAGACTATTTGACTTCAACTTGAAAAGTTCAGAAAATTCTACCGAAATCTAGAATCCCAAAAGGGTCAGCATCCCTACTCCTACAGATCGTGACAGACAGCTTAGCAGCGCCCTAATCCATCAGAGGTATTGGTTATTCAAGTTAAGTCTTCTGATCGGTTATTATGAAAGAAGATTGATTTTAAGATATATGCCTTTGCGCCTTTCCCTCCTCCCCTTTCCAAACTCACAGTGATATATTACGAATAATATCTTTCATCACGGATATATCGATATGTTGCAAATCTCAAACTGAAACATAGGTTGCAGAGTCCCTTGATATACAATACTTGCTAATAGTTTTTGTTTTTTGTTACAGAGTGACAATGAAGATGACAATAATGATCGTTATATTGTAAATCTACATATTGAGAACTGTAATTGTTCGACAAAATGAAGACTACAATTAGTTACCATCAATAATGCCGGTGAAGTATCTTCATAAACGAACAGTTTCTCGACTTTTCAAAAAGATAAATATATTGACCGAGGATCATTTGATATGAATTTATGAACAAATGACTGAAAGATACGTAGTATAGTTTTATCCTGATGTGCCATGGTTTTTTATAGTAAAATCCACATATTTTATAATCTATATATGCTTCATTATAATAATGAAACAAGATAAAAATCGTTTTGGTCATTGAGTATGACACATACTGTTGGTGTATATTTTCATCAAATACAACTTACAATCATAGCTATATGTATTTAAATTAGAATGCGGAACAATTATTCTTCATGGAAAAAAGACTAAATACAATAATTCAATAAGCATTCAGACAATAAGATTTGAAATAAACATCGATAAGAAATATTTTTTCGTAATTTAACGTGATATTCAAGCATATAGAGAATTTTGAATAATATAAAAAGAAAAAATTTTCGAAATCTTAAAAATATTAAATCCTTTTAAACATCAAGAAAACATAATTAACATAAAAAGAATTTAATATTAAAAAAAAATTAAGAACTTAGAAAAAGAAATTTCTTTTGCTTATGTTAACATTTAAAAAGATCATTTTTGTCTCTACTCTCGAAAATTGACCTATTTTCATATTGCTGTTCTTCGATAAGAATAGAAAAATAATAAATTTCTTACATATTCTAAACGGTTAGATTTAATTTATAATAAAACAAAATACTTTTCGATTGACTCCTCGACAAATCTAACATGTTAAATGTAGAAAACATCATACTACTATAAAATAAGTCTTTTCAAATATCGAATATACATAAAAGATACGAAAAATAATCACAGTTCTTTTTCTTTCCTAATCAAAAATTTTTATTAGCAAACTGAATATAAATTACCTATTCTCTTTTTTTTTTTTGTCTTTTAATTATCCTTGACTAATATTTTATTTTGAATATCTTCCTATACAACCTTTCAAAAAAATTAAATCACATTCATCGTCCATGAACTAAATGTATAGACAAAAAAGGATATACACATTTGAATTGAGATTATAACAAAAAAAAAAAAAACGAAAGAGCTCTGTCTCGTACGTGATAATGTTCAAGGTGGACAAAATATATAATGTAATCAAAAATATGATCTAACCTTGAAAGAAAATAATAAAGAATGTATTAAATCACACATTTGTCATTGATAAAATTACTATTATTTTGACGTATATCAACGACGTACTGTTAATACAATTGTTTGTAAAACAAGTACATACGTGCATATAATGGTTTAATTTTGAAGGGTGTTTAAAACAATGTGACATTTTCTCGCATGTACATTAAAATGTCGAGCTAATAGAGAGATGAATTTAAATAGTGACGACAATCTCATAAAAACTTCAACTTCTTATTGTTAGTCGGTAAAAATAAAAAATTTATATATAACATCGTTGTTCCGATAGCCGCCCGGTGTTTGATCAATTTTTTGTTATAACAATATCAAGACGATAAATATGAATCGACTTTTTATTATTGCTATTGTTTATCTTGCTATACAAGGAACAACTGCTGATATAAAAAAAAAACGTAAGTTTTAAAAATAAAATTTCTTTTTTTTTCGTGGTTTTTTGTAAATTTATTTAAAAAGGACAAGAATGTCGTGATTATGTTGGTGATCGTGCAAATTGTCAACGATTTGTTCGTTGTTTTCATAATTTACGAGTTTTATTTACATGTGCTAGTGGTACAGTTTATGAACCTAAATTAAAAACATGTATTGAAAAAGAATTAGTTACCGATTGTGATGATTCAAAAGATCGAGTTGGTAAGTTTTATTTTATTGATTTATTAAAACATAAAGAAAACAAAAAAAAAACCATCAACATATAATTTATTGAATATAGAAATAATAATTAGTTCAAATGTTACTGCATCTGATGATGATTATCCAACAATTGAAGCTGATGAAGATGCACTTAATATTATATCACTAAAAGATATTACAGGCAAAGATTCATCTACTAATGTACAAAAACAATTTGGTTGTGGATCATATTGTAAAAATCAAGGTCTTTGTGTTATTGTTGCTCAAGCAGTCACTTGCCAATGTCAAAGTGGTTATACTGGTCATCAATGTCAAATAACACGTAAGAAATAATGAAATAAAATATGAGTAATATTTCTAATATCATATTTTACATAAAGAATTTCTTATCTCTACAAGAGAAGGTTGTAATCCGAATCCATGTGATAATGGTGCTACATGTATAGAAATCTATCCAAATACGATTAATTGTACTTGTCCACCTGGATTTGTTGGATCTTTATGTAGCTATCCTGGTAATACTAGAATATTGAAATTATCGAGCGAGATATGATTATTTAAATTCATATAAGTTTTTCAGATATTACTACTACAATTACACCTATTACTGACAATCCTAATCGACTATGTTTAGTAAATCCTTGTTTAAATGGAGCATTTTGTTTAACTGTACTTGGTGGAGGCTTTCGTTGTGTCTGTCAAACAGGCTATACAGGTCTCTTATGTGATTATCCAGGTAGTTTACAGCGAGGAATAGAATTGAGTAATCTCTTGTATCATTCCTTTTGTTAAAGATAATCCAACGAGTACAGGTTGTGGTATAAGTAATCCTTGTATAAATTCGGGAATATGTATACCAACATTAATCGGCTATCAATGTCAATGTCTAGACAATTATGTTGGTAGTTATTGTCAAACTAATATAGGTAGTAAAAATTAAAGTTAGAAATTAGTATTTTAGTAGTTGTAGATTATAGTTATTCATATCTTCAAACAAGAAAAAAGACAAAATCAATTCTAATAATTTGTTTTTGGTTTCGTTCCAGCTCTTGTCGTTCTTCCACTACCAAATCAATGTCAACCAAGTCCATGGTAAAGAACAATTTTATTGAATATTTTCTTAGATAAATAAATTCTTTTGTTTATTTTTTCTTCTTTAGTCAAAATGGTGGTACTTGTTATCTTCGACAGGGTACATTTGGCTGTTCATGTCCTATTGGTTACAGTGGTGTATGCTGTGAAATAAATTTAGCTGCTACAAATCCATGTTATACGAATCCATGTGTAAATGGTGGTACATGTCAAATAGCAGGACCTAATCTTTTTCGATGTGTATGTCCAGCTGGTTTCAATGGTCTTCGTTGTGAATTACGTGTATGCGATCCAAATCCATGTTTATATGGAGGTATTTGTATAATTATTGGTAATTCATTTCAATGTCAATGTCCACCACAATATACTGGACCAACTTGTGCAATTTTAATTCCACCACCAAATCCATGTCTTTCACAACCCTGTCTTCATGGTGGTACTTGTACACCAACAGGTCCAACAAGTAAGACAAACTTCTATGGAAAGTTTTCAATCACAAAACAAAATTTCTTTTTTTTTTTGCTTTTAAGCATTTGTTTGTTCATGTACACCAAGTTACTATGGTCCATGCTGTGAAATTCGTAATTATTGTATACCAAATCCATGGTAATAAAATTTTGATTAAAAAAAAAGAATTTTTTGTTTTTTTCTTTAAATATTTTCTTCTAGTTATAACGGTGGTTCATGTGTTGCTACAACAACTGGTTATCTTTGTCAATGTTCATTTCCTTTTACAGGTAGTAATTGTGAAACATTAATTACTACACCAGTTCCTCGACCTGTTTGTGCCTGTGTTGTTTGTCCATGTCCAACACCAGTTGTTACAATGGTCAATCCATGTCTTCCGAATCCATGTCAAAATAATGGTGGTTGTGCTGTTGTTCAAAATATAGCTCGCTGCTATTGTCCAGGTAGTTTTAGAGGTTACTATTGTCAATTTGGTAAGTTTAATTTAATTTTTTATATTTTTCATTGATCAAAAAACAACTTTTTTTTAATTTTGTTTTTAAAATAGCACGTAAACGAGCTATGAGCAATGCTCCATGTGCTAATATGACTTGTATGAATGAAGGTGAATGTTTTGTTAATGAAAATGGTCCACAATGTACATGTCCAAAACCATATTATGGTAAAAATTGTGAATTAAGTAAGTCAAAAAAAAATCTTTGATGATTGTTGTTATTAGACAGAAACAAAACAAAAAAATTTCTTTTTATTTTGTTTGATTTAGTAAATCGACCACGAACATGTACACCAAGTCCATGTGGTAAAGATGGTCAATGTGTAATAACACAAGATGGTTATAAATGTCTTTGTAAAAATGATACAACAGGTGTACTTTGTGAACAAAAGATAATGCCAAAAAATTATCGTTGGTGTCCAATAGATTGTCGTAGTGGTACAAGTTGTGTTTATGAAGGTAGTACACCTAAATGTCGTGCTCTTTAAGTTTAAAATGTTTTTTTTTTGAATTGTGCCTTTTTTTTTTGACATTATATATTATATTCTTTTGTTTGTTTTTTCTCTCTTTTAATCAAAAAAATTACTTATTCATTTTATTCTATCTTTGATTATTATTATTATTATTATTATTACTATTATCATGATTATTTATGTCATTCTTTTACCGTTTAGAGTATTTTATTTTTCCAAATATAATTGTATAGAAGAGAAGAAGAATTAGTAATGTTATACATGGATTAGTTTTTGTAGAGATATTATAATATGTAGAGGAATATTTTTGTTAAGTTGTTTTCCTATTATTTAATAAAATAGATATTGTTATCATGACAGAAATCTGATTAACAAATTAAGATATATATGTATATGAAGATATTTGAAAGAAAATTAACTTTGAAATTTATTGATTGAATATATATGAGCTCTGGGATAAGATACAAAAAAAATCGCAAAAGGAGTTCGTATTCATGGGTCTCTAAAGCCAAGTTGTAACCGCTTTCTTGAACTTTCGATCCAGTTTTATGTATTTACCAAAAAATGAAATAACGGTATTTCGTCTATAAACAGATCGAATGATTAGTAGAATGTCCTAAAAGTTTCAGTCGAAAAGAATGTTCCTTTGTCAAGATATTGAATTTCTAAAAAATGGTCGTTTGTTACAGATATGCTAAGTACAAAAATTGAGTTTACTTAAAAACTTAATAAGATAATTTTGAGCAGAATCTTTCTTCATCGATTTTGGAGTTTCAATTTTTCTGAATGATTCTCTAGTAGTACAGTTTAGATTCAATGATAGATTTATTTATTTTGAAGCTTCTCTCTCACTACTGTTAAAGTCATACTCACTGGAAAATCAAGTTAGACCGAATCGATTGATCTGTAATGTTTCCAACAACACAATCCTATATTTGATCAGTGACGTAACAGGTAAATCCGAGTGAGGTGTTGCCATCAGCGATATCTCGCAGTTTTTCTAAATATTTTCTATTGGATGAATTTTTTTCAACTACTTTTGACTTCCAATATCAAGTGTTTCTATTTCTTCTATATGTTATAAAGTAGAGAGACGTTTTTTTTTTTCTCATGCTCATATCCATATCGCAAAATAATGAGTGTTTCTAGAGTATTCTATTAAAATTTTTTCAACAAGTTAGTAAATTGAACATTTAGAAGCATTTTATAGTCAAGTACTAAAACTCTTCACAAGTACCCTTAGGTTTCTGTGATATAATGGTAACAGAGTACCATGAGCTCAATACGTTCACTAGGGGATCTACAACAAAAATGAAAATATTAAATAAAGGCTACTTTTTCGAAACAAATAAAATAGTTTCTATGATAATTCAAATGATTGACAATAAATTATCTTAATCAATACGTTCTATACAGGAAATATGTTAAAGTATTTTTTTCTTTTTGAATAATAAATTGTTTTCGATAAACATATTGAAACATTTTGTATTGAAGAATCATATAGATATTGTATAAAAAAAGATCAAACATATATGAATAAAATCTCATTATAATAAATGAACTAATAACTTATTACATTTCTTGAAGATTAAATAAAAGAATGATGAAGAGATGTATTTCAAAATAGATAGAATAAAAAAATATTGCTGTAATTATCAATAGCAGCTACGTCATGTTCCATACTTTAATTCCGTAGGAATTACACTAACAACTTCTTTTAAAATATATTGTCACCTGAAAAATGCATTCAAAAAAAAAAACTAATTATATATTCCGAAAATACTGGAAATTTTCTATTATCCTCTATATTTTTATTTGCACCTACTGACTGGAAAATAAATTAACTGCAATAAAGAATTTGTCACTCAATTATGTTTTTGAAGTTTATCATTACCATACAAAAAAAGTTCTTTAGAAAAAAAATAATTATGTATTCTGATTTGAATTTTGAAATTCTCTATTATGCTACATTGTTTTGTCATATTTTCTATATATATATTCTAATGAATAAAGTAAGTATTACACGGGCACACACGTTGACAAAGTCTAAAAACTTCGATATTTCAATTATTTCTTCTTTTGTTGTTTTTATTTAAAAAGTTTGAGATGATAGAGCAGTCTAAACTCTAACAACATACGTAGTAGTTACATTTTTAAAAAACTATTTCATAAGAATACTAAACTTGAAATAAAAAAGAAAATTAATAACAGAAAAAAAAGCTGTTTTGAACGGTTTCTCACACAAAAAGAATGTGTCTATCTAATATTCATCGGAACTTAAATGTAAAGACAAGAGAAAAATATCTAGAATCATAGAAAATTTCAAGATCTCTTGGAATATAATTAGAAAATTATTTTTATATTTAATGATATATTTAAACAATTAATTGACGAGACAATGAGAAAATTTATTTCGTAGAAATCTGACTATGAGAATGTCTTTTGTTACAATTGATTTATTTTCCAATTAGTAGACTTAAATTAAAATATAAATATACAGAATAATTGAAAATTTCCAAAACTTTCAAAATAAGTAATTACTTTTTTTTTAATGCATTGTTATAATTGAAAACTTGATTACAACTATTTTTTGCCATGATTATATATATAATCAAGAGTTAGAGATAAACAATTCATTTTATAATTTTAACCAATAGTAAAATGTTTATATTTATAA